GGAACTGCAGAACTGCAGTCAGCTGAAGTAGCCTGCAGTGCTGCATTTAACCACTGTGCCACCTTGGCTCCCTATGTAGTATGACACCAGGGCTTGGAAAAGTAACTAGGACAGTATTGACCCATCAGGGTTTTCATGATTCTCTGTCTTAGAATACACAATTACAAAACTTTCCTGAAAGCAGAATTTATTCATTAAGATTTAGCTCCTCTTTTCTTTCTCTCTACTTCCGGTTGAGTTTACTTATATGTTAATCAATATATTCAGTCAATGAATTGCAAACATACAAAATTTATCACTTTGAGATAATAGGAATGGATTTCTTATGACTTTAAAACAAATAAAAGCAGTAATTCATGAAGCCAGGATAACCATTTTAAATAAAAAAACATGGATAAATAACATTTATTTTGCATCTTTATGTACTTTATTAATAGTCGTTATCTGAAAACATATATAACCTATATGTTTTTATTTTTTCCCCTCATTAAATCAAAAGTATGATAAATGCAGACTTCAGCACAGCAGCTGTCCTGATCTCGTTTGGAGCCATCCTGGGGAAAACAAGTCCAGTTCAGATGTTGATTTTAACAATATTTGAAATTACTATATTTGTATGCAATGAACATCTTGTGGTGAATGTACTAAAGGTAGGAATTTTCTGGCTTCTATTTTACTGTGTCATTTTATAAGGGGACACTGTCTTCTAGTCATCTTTTTATTTTGGGTTTGTTGAGCTTTAAGACCTTCTCTGACAATGACTACATTCTTGTCTGTCTTGCTTTGAAAGAACATTTTGATTTGAGTGCTGCATTATATTTCCACGAAAAGGAAATGCTCAGTTCTGAGAAATTGTATGAGTGTTTTGTCTTTTTCCCCATGAGAACGCCCCCCCCCAGCATTAATGAAAAAAAAATCCCACTGGATGAAAATTAACCAGTAAGAGGGAGATGAAGATTAAAAGTCCACCAGGTCTATTCCACTCTGGATTAGGGAATCACCAGACAGTTTTTTTAAAATATCCAGGATCTATTTCCATTTCATAATAGAATGCATTAAGAAAGAATCAACATTTCTACAGACTAAATTAAAGAAACAATTCTCCTCTTTACAAGTCTGCCCTCTCCATGCCAAGTGTTTCCAGCAAAAAAAGGCACTTCCAACAAATCCAAGAAATGGATAACTCTAGAACTTGCTAAGTAATTCCTAACCCATCTTCTCTCAATCAACCAATATGTCTCCCAGTTTATTTACTTATCAAATTTATATTATCTCACAAATGTGACCCTGCCTAGCATAGAAAAAAATAAAAATAAATATAAAACAACAATTAAAACAAATCAACATAAATATAATTAAGACCATAGGAGAAACTTACACACAATACAACCATGAAAGCTGAATAAATTAATTGAATTGCTTCAACATAGTAAACCCAATCAAATATTTCAAACATTTCAGTTTGATTTCAATTAATGTCCATCTGGTTTTTTCCCCCCCCCTGTTCAATCATGTCCGATTCTTGGAGACTATTTGGACAAGTCTCTGCATTTTTCTTGGCAAGGTTTTTCAAAAGTGATTTGCCATTGCCTCCTTCCTAGAGCTGAGAGAAAGTGACAGGCCCAAGTTCACCCATCAAACTTTGTGCACAATAGCAATAGCAGNTTTCTTTCTTTCTTTCTTTCTTTCTTTCTTTCTTTCTTTCTTTCTTTCTTTCTTTCTTTCTTTCATGATAATGTTACCAGAAAGAACTGTCCCGTTTAAAATTTTGAAAAAATTGGAATGAAGTTACCAGGAGAAATTTATTTACTAATGCTGCCTATCATAATATTTTTCCTCATATTTTTTCCCCTAGTCTTTCAAGATGTTCATGTGATGATATTTATTGGGTTTGGTTTCCTGATGACCTTCCTGAAAAAATACGGCTTCAGCAGTGTTAGCATCAACTTCCTCATTGCTGCCTTGGGCCTTCAGTGGGGCATCCTCTTACAAGGATTTTGGCACATGGTATCAAATAATGTCCATAATACCATTGAAAGGTAAGGAGCATACCCTGGGAAGCACAAGTGACTTGAATATTAAGATTGGTTACCAAGAGTTTCCTACAAGTGAATTTCTAGTAGAATTGCCAGAAGTGTTGTGCTACAGACAGCACTGTGGTATAAATCATAGTGAGCTAGAGATGGTGAATGGTGTAAGATTACCAAGTATATTTGTCTTAAAAACACTATGTCCCATACCAACCTCTTCAGATGTTCAGTCCTTCTAAGGATTTTTAGACTTATTTCCTCCATCTGAGATAGAACCTGTGGTATCTAAAGAAATCTAGGAACCCTAGTTAAGGAACACATTCTCTAAAGAAATATTCCTTATACTTCTTGGCTTTTAGCAAGGGTAGAAAGCTCTGACTCCACAGACATTGCTGTATTGAATTATATCTCCTAGAAGCCATAGCAGGGGTTACAGCAAGTTGTACTTCTGCAATATCAGGAAGGCCTTAAAATTCACCACCCCTAATTTAAACACTAAGTAGGTAAACAACAAACAAACAACAAAAAATAGAAACAACACTAATATTAAGTAGCACATTTTAAGCCTTTCATTGGTTTGGCTACAGCCCAATTGTTTCATTAGACTTTATGGTTTAGAAATTTCAGTGGTGAATGAAATTGTATTACGAAAGCTAGAATGCATATATCCTGACTATGCAGAGAATTTCAATTGGCAATTTAGCAGTTGACACATTGATTGCAGCTTATCTTTCCCCCTCCTTGAGCCAATGCCTACCCTTCACTAGGTCCACAATTTCAACCTGTCACTTTTGTGGGGTGGACGCAGAGGTGGGTTCCTACCAGTTCGCACCTATTCGGTAGAACCGGTTCGTCAAATCTACCGAACCGGTTAGAA